AAGATACTACTCTAATAATTAAAAATAATACATAAAAAATATAATTATATATTAATAAAAAATATTTAATTATAATTATTTTGACTTTGACCAATCTCATTTTTTTAATATATTGAATTTTTATAATAGCATTTTTTTGATTTATTAGATTTTTATAATATTTTTTATATTTATTAATATTAATGTAAAAAAATTAAACTTTTTAAAATTTGGGATCCTCCAAAATTTGGGACTCTTTGCTACTCCTGCATAGAATTGAGCCTACATATAAAGTAAATATGGGACGATTATAAGAATTTATTGTTTATAAATATTAATTACAATAAATACAATTAATAATTCATGTTGTTGTCTAAAGAACTAATATCAGGAGTGCATTCAATATTTTTGTGAGTAAATTTTATTCATTTTGTTGTTCACTTTTAAGTTAAATTTAACTTATGAATTAACAAATTTCAATATTATTGTTCTCTCTTAAAGTTCTAACTTTTAGGACTGAAATGAGAATATTAACATGTTCTTTAATCTACATCTTTAATATGGATGATGAAACACAATCTAGTATCTCAAAAATAAGAATAAATTATAGTAAGTGAGTATACTCTAATTTAAAAGGTGTTATGATCATAAAGTGTGATATTTTTTTAGGATATTATTTAATATGACACATATTTTATAATATTTTCTAATTTTAATCTAAATGAATTTTAAAACAATAAAGAGTTAAGAGACCGAGAAACTTTCATTGAAGAGCTACGAAATCACTAATATTAAATAAGAAAAGATAATATCTTTATTATTTTTATAATACTTTAATCTTCCTAAGGTGTTATAATTTTTTATTAGGTAATTTGCTCGAAAATTTAAGATTTATTATTCTCTTTGCCCCATTAAGTTAAAGTCGAAAATATTTATTTAATATGATTCTTTCATAAAATGTGCAATAAGACCAAAGCAAGAGAAAATAAAATAATATTCTAAAAAATTAGCAAAAATTATGGATTATTATACGAACTTATAAATATTCAATGATGTTGAAATAGACATTAATATGAAGTGAACAAATTTAATAGATATTAACATATTTTAGATAGTTGGTAGTTTTTAGTAACTTGCTTATATTTTTTTATATAAAAGTTAATTTGGTGAATCATTATTAGGATTAACTTTTGTTTTTTAATTTATTTAAAAAAAATACAAATTTTATATTATTTTAAAATAATGATTCAATTTATCTTTTAAATTTAAATATTATTAGAGTCTTTCAATTATGACGTGAAAATATATAATTGTTGAAATGTTTTGAGAAATATAATTTTTTGATCTCATAAGTTAAAGAGTATTAGAAGGAGAATCTTCAAAGTTCTTTGAGGATATTGAGTTTGGGAGAGAGATATGGTTAAAGTGTTGGGTCAAATAGTATATTCATTCAAGTTCTACATCGGGTAATAGAAAGAAAATAAAATTTGAGTATTATTATAAATATAGATAGTTAGTTTTAGTTTTCTACACTACAACAAAATATAGCCTTTTGGGTGCATTGAAGATTTGAATAGTTGTGTGTCTAGAGAGGGTTTATAATTTTTTCGAACAAAAATTATTGTTGAGAGGATTTGCAACTTTTCGTCCAAAAATTGTAGTTGAGAGAGGATTTGCAATTTTTCCGTCTAAAAATTGTAGTTGAGAGAAGATTTGTAATTTTTCCGTCCAAAAATTATATTTGAGAGTGTTTGCAACTTTTCTATTAAAAAATTGCAGTTTGAAGAGTTTGCATTTTTCTCCTTAAAAATTACAATTATATGAGAGTTTATAATTTTGTCTTTCTAAAATTAGAAGTTGAATAACAAATTTGTGACTTTTACTTTTTGAATTTTTTTCTTTTTCTTCTTCTTATAAAGATGTGCTTCTGCGTGTCAATATTGGTTTATTTGTTATTTTTCCAACAACTGATATATTCGAGCTAAGATTCCGATCAAGGAAGGAAGAAAGAATAACAAAAAATTCAGAGCAAACAAAAAAAGGTAGAATAACAATTATTCTGATCAAGGGAGGAAGAAGACAAAAAGATTGAAGAGTATAATTTTACAAATGTGACTAATCATTATAATGATCTTAAACGCTTTTAAGAGGAAGTTGATGACAAAGTGAATATATATGAGACTTTGGATGACGTGTGGATTTGTTAGTTCAAATAATATATTCATCCAAGTCTCACATCGAATAGTAGAAAAAAAAAATTTTGAGTATTATTATAAATATAGATAGTTAGCCTGAGTTTTCTACACAACAACAAAATTAGCCAAAAGAGTGATATCTTACTGTGTTACACCCTCACACCATCCCACAAGTCGAGCATGCAAATTGATGTTGGACCTTCCGATGTTGTCATCCCACCAGTCGAGCATGCAAATGACGTTGGACCTTCTGATGTTGGGGGATCTATGAGCTGAACGTTTCAACGTCTTAATTATATCGTCAATAAATCTAATTTTTTTTGCATCAAACTCGATCGATCCTTTTGTTAGCATGGAGTAATATGTTCTCTACATAACCTTTAAATCTTTATTAGTTTTCAACTCAATTTGATTGTATTTCACCTTTTCACCAGTATCAATTCATGGTTCATAAACTTGATCTTAGTCACCTTTCTATTCTCGGTGTCAAACAACATAGTATTCAATTTAGATCTCAGAAGAGCGAGACACATGATATCTTCTAAGAGTCCAAAATCAATCGAAGATTTCACCCCTATTGAAGTACACACATGTCATACTCCATATTTAGACAAGTTTAAATTTATTCTAGACCGAACAAAACCATCGGTACAATCACAGATTTTTTGAAACTCTTCTAAACGATTGATAATTGCATGAGCTTTTTTTAAAAACAGGTGATTTTATACTATCGAATATTTTTTATAAAATTTTAAGAAGGATAACATAAATATTATAAAAAATTGAAGGTGTTAAGTGTAGGGTGTGAAGGTAAAAAATCTCCAAAATCTCATACTAGAGAATTCATACGTTTTAGCCCAGCCCAAGAAATGATATCCAGTCCAGAAAAAACCCAGAATCAGAAAACACAACGAGAATCTCAAACTAGGGTTTTGCACTCATTCACCTCTATCATCATCGTCTCTCAAACCAGTTAACACCACTGAGTACTCCACAGACTCATCACCATCACCACCTTGCACCAATGGTAGGAGTAGCATTCGATGTCGGCGCCGTTCCTTTCAACGCCGACGGATGGGGCCCAATGGATTCCGCCGCCGCCAACAACAACAACAACAACAGCCTCCCTCTCAACGTCCCCTTCGCCCCTTTCTCTCGCTCCGACAAGGTAGGCCGAATCGCCGATTGGACTCGCAACTTCAACAACCAGACCCGATCCAAAAACCCCGCCGATTCCGCCTTCGATTTCACCCTCGACGATTCCTTCCCAGGTAACACCGATGACGACGCCACATTCCGCTTAGTCGACGGTAAACCACCACCCCGTCCCAAATTCGGCCCGAAATGGAGATACCAGCAGCAAAAGCAGCTTCCTCAGCGTCGCGATGAAGAAGTCGAAGCCAAGAAACGTGAGGCGGAGAAGGAGAGAGCTCGTAGGGATCGTCTTTACCATCAGAATCGTTCGAACCCTAATAATCCTCGCCGTGAAGCTGCGGTTTGTAAGTCATCGGTAGATATTCAGCCGGAGTGGAATATGCATGATCAGATCCCGTTTTCGACTTTCACGAAACTATCCTACAATGTTCCTGAGCCTGAGGATCTTCTCCTATGTGGTGCTCTTGAGAATTATGATCGAACCTTCGATAGAATCAACCCTAAGAATGAGCGTCGTCTCGAGAGGTTTAAGAATCGGAACTTCTTCAAGGTTACAACAACTGATGACCCTGTTATCAGGAGGCTTGCTAATGAGGATAAAGCGACAGTTTTTGCAACTGATACTATTCTGTCGACTCTCATGTGTGCTCCTAGGTCTGTTTACTCTTGGGATATTGTTGTTCAGCGTGTTGGGAATAAGTTGTTCTTTGATAAACGCGATGGGTCGCAGTTGGATTTGCTTTCGGTTCATGAGACGTCACAGGAGCCTTTGCCTGAAGCTAAGGATGATATTAACTCTGCTCATTCTTTGAGTGTTGAAGCTGCTTATATCAATCAGAATTTCTCTCAGCAGGTGTTGATTAGGGATGGGAACAAGGTTACTTTTGATGAGCCTAACCCTTTTGCTAATGAGGGTGAAGAGGTTGCTTCGGTTGCTTATAGGTATAGAAGGTGGAAGCTTGATAATGATATGTATCTTGTTGCTAGGTGTGAGGTGCATAGTGTTGTTGAATTGAATAAGCAGAGGTCATTCCTTACCGTGAATGCTTTGAATGAATTTGATCCGAAGTATTCAGGTGTTGATTGGAGGCAGAAGTTGGAGACTCAAAGAGGTGCTGTTTTGGCTACTGAGCTCAAGAACAATGCTAACAAGTTGGCAAAGTGGACTGCACAAGCTCTTTTGGGTAGTGCCGATATGATGAAGTTGGGTTATGTGTCTCGGATTCATCCCCGGGACCATTTTAATCATGTTATTTTGGGTGTGGTTGGATATAAACCCAAGGACTTTGCTGCACAAATTAATTTGAACACTACCAACATGTGGGGTATTGTGAAGTCTATTGTGGACTTGTGTATGAAGTTGAATGAGGGAAAATATGTCATTGTGAAGGATCCATCTAAGCCTCAGATTAGGATTTATGAGGTTCCGGTTGATGCATTTGAGAATGACTATGTGGAGGAGCCACTTCCGGAAGATGAACAAGTTCAGCCTACGGCAGAGGGTGCTGATGGTGGAGAGGAAGAAGCTGTTGCTGCTGCTGCTACAAACGATGTGGAAGATAAGCCTATTGATGCTCAAGCTTAAAAGGTAAGTGTTACAAGTCAAAGTCATGCTCTATTTGGTTTTTAAAATGTCGTAGGATATTTTTATGGCATTATTTGTGTTATGGGATGCTAATGTTTTCTGATTCTTCCATACTAAGTACATTTTTCCCCTTGTTAATCGTGGATGGATCTGTTTTGTTACTTTTGTTTTGTGGTCATTATTTTACAATTGGCCTCCTTTTAATTTTGTATTTTAGAGGGAACATAAAAATTCTAAATTGCGTCTGTTATCATGTCACTTACCTTAGGGCCGTTGGTTGCCGGAAAATGAAGACAAATGTTGCTGATGGATTGCAAATATGGCTGCATTGACTTCAAATCCTTCATGTTGCAGCAGTTGTTAGTTTTGGAATCCAATTTAAAACCTTGGCGTTCGTTAAGATTTAATTGCACATGTTTGTTGTAGTTTGGAACTGTTTCATCATAATTCTAGTCTACATTCCGAAACTGGAGTGATTTATGTTAGCATCTTTTAAAATAATAATAAGTTCTCAATCCTTATATCATGATTGTTGTGCCCCAAGTGTGTATTTTTTCATATTCGAATTATCTCTGGTTAATAATTGATATTCTATTGGCCTTCTTGCAAGTTGTGTGCACGTGTTCAAATATTTGCAACACTTCTTCGATATTAAATGTTGGGCTACTATTGAGGATTTGATGGAAAATTGGAGGTGTCTTACATATCTAACTGCAGAATACTATTGGCATTTTATATTAGGTTTTAGAAATCCCAGTTTCCAAAATGAAATTCTTTAGCTAGGGAACCCATTTGATTTTGCCGCTAGGAGCTGCTTATACATAGGCCTCAGCACTATCACACATGTTTCCTTGAATATCTAGACGATATAGACTGGGCAATCTAATTTATCCTTGAAAACAATAGTAACAATACTAAGCTCGGGATGATGCATGTGTGCATATCTATTAATTTGCTGCTCATTATTCCTAGATTGAATTTAAGCGTCAAATTCAGACTTCACCAGTTAGTTCTTGATTCTATTTTTCTTTATAGTTCAAGGGACATGCAAAATGCATTAGAAAATATCCGTATACCGATGAATATGTTTAATCTTAATAGTGCATGAGTAAGGAATTCTCTAAATAAACCCATCTATTAATTTGCTGCTCATTATTCCTAGATTGAATCTAAGCGTCAAATTCGGACTTCACCGGTTAGTTCTTGATTCTATTTTTCTTTATAGTTTAAGGGACGTGCAAAATACGTTAGAAACTATTTGTATACCGATGAATATGCTGAATCTTAAAAGTGCATGAGTAAGGAATTCTCTAAATAAACCTGTTTCCTACTTTCAACAGCCAAACAGTAAGCTTGTCTTCATTTCCCTAACAAAAAAGAGAGAAAATGTCTCTTGTTCTAGAGAATCTAACAAGTACAGGATGCATCTTAAACTTGAATGCTCAAGAGGACATGCCATGTATCTAAGTTTTTAGGTGTAAAATAGCATTTGGATTAGAGTTTTCTGTAGGCACTAGCACTATGTTGAGTATGCTATACTCACACCTTAAGTGTGGATAAGTGGGAATCTTGGGTTTGAATCGCATAATAACATTGTTGCATCTACCAACTGAGTTGTACTTACGAAGCTAAAATATCTGGTTTTACTTTCTAGGGGTTTTGCCTAGTATTTTTATATATTCATTTTGGCTTTTTAAATCTGGTACTAGTATCACTTTTCACAATAATTTAAATTGAATGACATCATGCCTTATGATACTTAATGCAACACTTTTTATGACCTGAAAATGTTTTATTCGAGAGCTTTTGAAAATGGTCAGATATCTGGTCAAATGCCGGCATGTCTGAATCATTAACGTGTGTTCACTATTTAAATTTAAGTTTCCTGCTTTGTTGACCACAATCATTTATGAGAGCTCAAGTGAGACTTGTATCAGTTGGAATTTTCTTTCATTTATGCTTTACTGGTATAAGTTGGAATCTTAGATCAATCTGTAATCTGCAATTACTGGTCAAGTGTATTGCTTTTGTTGTAATGTTTTTGACGGGAAGGTTTTACTTGGCAAGCCCTTGTTTTCTTGGGTTTTCTCTAAGTTATGTATTTTCAATGGTGTTCCAGATGTGTAACCAATGCATGCATTTGAATGGCGTTTGATGTACACAACCTATAATTTGGACCTGTTTTGCTAATATCACATACCAATAGATGACATAACTTTTTGGTGAATGCAGGTTGTGCTTATTGAGCAATTAACGGCTTTTCGCTTGGGAACATATAACTATGCTCAGAATCATATTCACTTCTTCACTGCTATTTATTGGTCAAGATTTTGCCATTTAACCTTGTGATATTCCCTCTAGAATAATTTTTTAAAGCATACTAATTTTTAACCTTGGCATATTTAGGCTGGAACCTTTTAAAGATTGTGTTATGCTTTTGAGTTTGTATTTTGCTGTGTTAGGCATTCCATTCCTTCATGCTTATTGGATTTATAACTCTATCAACATCGATTGAATTGAGTGGGGATGTATCACTGTTAGGTGTTACTTGTTTAAACTTGGATGGATCATCATCGTCATCATCATATTCATCGTATTGCTGGATATTTTGTCAGTAAGTAACTGATTGAACTAATGGATCACAAGTTGAACCCAATACATATAATATACCATGGCGTTGGATATTATATTTAAAAGATCATTTTTACTCATAATGGGGACTGAATGGTTTTTCTTTTTTGAATTTAAAACATCATGGAGTCCATTGCTCTCTTCCTGCTCAATTTCTGATACCTAACAGTAGCTAACTGATATTGATCATCCTCGATTTCTCTATATGCAAAATCTTGTAGAACTCTTTTAGAAAAAACTTCTATTGTCATTGTCTGCAATCAATTGATCTCTGCCACTTTGATAATATATGTACGTGCAAATAATTTGTTTGATCAATTATGAGGCTTTACTTGTAGAAAATTTCTCTTTACACCTAGTAGTGGTGAAAATCACTCTTGAAAACTCGAAAATACCCTTCAGAGGTGCACTTTGCATCTATTAGCATGTTTCGGAAGTGTATTTTCGAAGACACTCTTTTTCTACGTTTTATAACATCAATGTTGGATTTGAACTTTTTTTAGATAGTTTCAGAGATGAACATGCGAAACATGTTAATAGGTGATTTCGGATGTGCATCTTTGAAACGATCTTTTCCATATTCGAATATTGTATGGTCACTTATCACAATTATTCCATTCATTTTCTATTCCTCCATAACCAAAATCCTAATAAATCTTCATTCATTTTCAATGGATTTTTCGTCTTCAAATCAAGTTTCAAATGTTTGGAAATAGCAAGGAGAGCATAGAAAGCTGTAATATAAGATAAATATCTTTTTTTTCATTACACATTTGTTGCATTGAAGTTGTTTTGTTGATGAAAAAAAACATCGTCGTTTTGGATATGCACTTTCGAATTCCACCAACATAAATTTGGAAGTGCACTTCCGAAAAAAGGTCTGTTTCAAATTCAGAATTCTGTTTTAACATAATTCATGTTTTTTTAACATGCTAGGTATGATGCACTTCAATAATATTGTCAAAGTTCTTGTAAAGGAGAGGAAAATCACACTCTTTTATGCACAAACACATTCAACGAATCGTGGATGTGGGGAGTGATGGTAATTGCGGGTATCGTGCTGTGTCCGTGTTATTTAGTAAAGGAGAGGAAAATCACACTCTTGTGCGCCATCACTTATTTCGGAGTGGACGGTGCATAGTGAACTCCACACTCGCCTATATGTGACTATCGATAAATTTAATAAAGTTCATCATACTCTGGCTCTTAGTCTTACCATTCGCGCACCAGTTTCTAAGTGGACGAGCTTCTCTAAAATGAGTAATCTTATAGCAAGTGCGTACGAGAGGGTGTGTATCGATTTGACGAGGTATGATTTTTCAGAGACATTTTTTTCCACTTCAGACTCCCCCGCCTGAAGATCCATCCAGCCACATCATGTGTATTTGGTACCTTAGATCACGCCATTTTGTTCAGGTTTATTTGAAACAAGGTTGTCCTATACCGGCTACCTTCGTGGAATGGACGACACATCATGAAAAAGAGGCGGAAACTTGGTCAGATGAGTTTTTGGATATGATGGTTGAGTTCACCAATTTGATGGAGTTTGAGAGAGAATCAAATAGGGAGAAGTCGAAGAAAGAACCATTTTTAGATTTAGGCGGTGACAATTTTGTTCGGTGCATTTTAGAATGTAATCGAATCATTTTTTGAATGTTTAATCGAATTATTTTTTGAATGTATTGTCGTCCACATTGTAAAATCTATACGTTTCAATACATGTATAACATATTATCTATATTTGGTGTTACATTTGTTTATTTTTTTCATGCACTTTTGTACACAATAATGATTCTGAGTTCTATTTTTGCATAATTCAGAAGTGCACTTCTGAATTAACCTCTTCTTTTTATTAAAACTCGTGGTGTCTTCAGACGTGTATCTCCGAAAACCCTATTTTTGATAAAAATAAGAGGAATTCAGAGGTGCACTTCTGAAATATGTTATGATAAGATTTCTTTGATCCATATTGCTCCAAAAAAGCTATAATTTGGATCTTCCATACCATTTCTTTACCATTCACATACCATAACCATAAATGACACAAACATATCCACACATTGCTTTTGTTTACTTCAGTGGTGCACAATCATCACTTCAAATCAGGTTCTCGCAGGACACGTCGTTCGTCGAGCTCATTACCATACTGCATTCCCTCTTGCAATATTCAGAGAATTGAAGGTGGTCAAGTTTGAGTATCGTTCACATTCCATTGACAATAAGGAAACATAAAGTTCACCCCGTTTGAGCTCAAGAATGACGACGCTTTAAAGGTTATGTGGGATACCTATCAACAATGCTCTTTTAAGGGTTCGATTGAGATGGATGCGAAGTTTCAAAGATCGACATAAGATGTTATAAAGATGTTGCGCCGTCCTCAACTACCCGTTTATAACAATACGTAACTTTAATTTTTTGCATAACTATTTATGTAACTTCTTTGAATTATGTTGAATGAATGTTATGAATTATGTTGAAATTTTGTTCTGTCCAGGGATACTTTCGAATATGCATTTTCGAAAATGTCTAACAGATGACTTCAAATCTGCATATCTGAAATAAAGTTAATAACTTACGTTGGTGGTCCGTTCAGAGACGCACTTCCGAAATCTGAAGATATTTTAGAAATTTCACCATAAATGCTAAAGAAATGCATTACATGTAGAAAGAAATTTTGTTACTAGTATTCAACATTTTTTGG